TCACGTGGGTAAGGCGAAGCTAAAGGGAAAAGCTTATAAGGTAGGTGAATGCTTAAGGCTTCGAACCACCTTACCTGGCTGGCATGCCAGACACTGACGTCTCTGTGCTGAAATGCAAAGGAGAGGAATGTAGTTTTTGGCGAGGTTTTGGCAATTTGTTATTTCTTGATTTTTTTCACTCTGTCATTGACATTATGGATTTACTCACCAGTCACTTTTTTTTTTTCTTTTTTTGAGAGATTTTCGCTATAGGGCGCGTGTGCTCGCCAGACAGACAGAGAGAGACATAGAGACAGAAAGCGAGAAATCACCCCCCAGGGGGGATGGCCACTCCGCAATCCCTTCTTCTCCATTCTCCTCTCGGGATCTTGGGTATGCACGCACACGCGCCCGGCGTGAGTTTTAAGCCACTGGGTCCGGGACGCAAACAGTGGTCAACTATGTGGGAGTCCAGCGACATAGCCATTACGCTAACTGCTGGTTCCCACTTTTTAAAAAATAATATTTATTGTTGTTTCTAGTTTATAATCATTGTACATTTTTGTGGGGTAAACTGGTTTTTTCAAAGTATGTATGCAGTGTGTAATAAATTCATATTAATGATATGTAAATAATTCACCATCTCTAGCATTTTTTTTCTTAATTGCCAGAGGACATGTGCATTTGTCAGAAACAAACAGAGGAAGGGACCAGCAGTTGACATAATGACTATGTCACTGGACTCCCATGCACTTGACCGTGGTTCGAGTCCTGGACCCGGTGACTTAAACTCACGCCAGGCACATGTGTGTGTGTGCCCAGGATCCCGAGAAGAGAATAGAGGAGAAGGGATTGCAGCGTGGCCATACCCCCTGGGGGGTGATTTCTCGCTTTCTGTCTCTCTGTCTCTCTCTGTCTTTTTGGCGAGCGCACACGCCCTATAGACAAAACCTGGAAAAAAAAAAAACAAAAAAAAAAAAAAACAGGAAAACTAAGAATGTGAAAGCATCCTCCAAAGGGTATGGTTACACCGCAGTTCCTTCTTTATTTTCATCCTGTCAGGAATTGGGGCACGCATGCATATGTGCCCAGTGTTTTCAAGCCAGCTGGCCCAGGATTTGAACCCCAGCATGCCATGTGGGATCAGGCTCCCTTAACTACTAGACTATGGGGGCTGGCCCTCCAGCATTTATTAATACAGCTTATTGTGCACATATGAAATCTCTACCTTTTTCTGTTTTGTTTTGTTTCTTGTAATATATATTAGGTTGTTCATGGTTTTCTTTAACGTGTCACACTGTATGACCTGTTCCATTTATTTACATGCACTCTTAATCAGTTTCTCCCGATCCAACTTGTAGTGTTTACCGTTACGTTCTGTACTTCTGTGCTACTAGATGTTTTAGCTTCTACTAGTGGGTGAAGATACTCAGCATTTGTTAAATAAGAATACACAATATTTGTCTTTCATAGCCTGACTTAATGTAACTTAGCATTCTAAGTTCCCCAAATGACAGGAATTTATTTATTTATTTATTTATTTATTTATTTATTTTAATGGCTGAAAAGTATTTCATTATGTATATATGACACATTTTCTTTATCCTTCCCTCAGTTGTTGGGCACTGACATTGATTTCATATTTTTTATTTTGTAGTACGCGTGGATGTGTAGATATGTGTGACAGATCAAGGTCCTATCCTTTGGATGTATATCCAGGAGTGGGATTGCTGGGTCCAAAGGTGGTTCTATTTTTAGTTTTTTCAGGAACCACCATACTGTTTTCCACAGGGGCTATACTAGTTTATATTCCTACTAACAGTGCACAAGGGTTACTTTTTTTTTTTTTTTTAAGAATTATTTTATTTAACTTTATTTATTATTATATCATTATTATTTTTCAGTTTGATCAGAGAGAGACAGAGAGAGAGAGAGAGGTAGTGAGAAAGCAAGCCACCAGGTCTGGGACTTGAACCTTTCACCACCACGCCACTTGCCGGCCCAAGGGTTACTATTTTGTTATAGCCATGCTAGCAATTGTTATTCTTTGTGGTTTTTTTTTTGATAATAGCTATTATAACCGGAGTAAGGCGATACCTCCTTATGGCTTATATTTGCATTTTCCTTACGATTAGTGATGCTGAACATTTTTTTCCTATATTTTTTGGCCATTTGTATGTCTTTCTTTGAGAGTCACCTGTTTGTTTTTTAATTAGATTATTCTTTTGTGGGTGAGCTGTATGAATTTCTGGATATTAAGAACCTGGTAGGTGTATAGTTTGTAAATATTTTTCTCTATTCGGTAGGCTGCCTTTTTGAGGGGAGTGGCTATAGGGCACGGGCGCTGGCCAGAGATAGAGAGAAAGTGAGAAAACACCCTCAGGGGAGTGGCCACGCTATAATTCCTTCTCCATTCTCTCTGGATGTTGGGCATACACACATTCCCAACATATTTCTCAAACACTGGGGTTCAGGACTTGAGCTGCATAGTCAGCCTTATGGGATCCATACACCTTAATCTCTACACCATCTGCTGGTCAGATGTAGATGACCTCTTTACGGATTGTTTCCTTTGCTATATAGAAGCTTTTTAGCTTGATATAATCTCCTTGTCTGTCTTTGGTATTGTTGCCTGTGTTTTAGGGGGTCTTACTTAAAAAGTCAGCCTAAACTAATATCTTGAAGTGTTTCTCCTATATTTTTTTGAAGTAGTTTTATTAGTTTTGGGTTTTACAATTAAGGTGGTTTTGTTTTTTTAGTTGCCAGAGGATCCTTATGCTCACCTAAGAGAGAAATCACCACCTAATGGGGTGGGGTCACATTTCATCATCCTGTCAGGATTTGGGGCATGCACACATATGTTTTTGCCTTTTTTTTTTTTCCCCAAGCTGCCAGGGCTAGGATTTGAACCATGGCTGGCCATGTGGGGTCCAGCACCCTTTGTACTGTGCTGCAATATGGAGCCATCCCCTACAATTAAGTCTAAAATCCATTTTGAGTTAGTTTTTTTTTTTATATGGTGAAAAATAACAGTCTAGCTTAGTTCTTTTGCAGATGGATACCCAATTTTCCTATCCCTTTTTTTTTTTTTTTTTGGAGAGATTTTCACTGTAGGGCGCGTGCGCTCGCCAGACAGAGAGAGACATAGAGACAGAAAGCGAGAAATCACCCCCCAGGGGGGATGGTCACGCCGCAGTCCCTTCTCCTCCATTCTCCTCTCGGGATCTTGGGCACGCACGCACACGCGCCCGGCGTGAGTTTTAAGCCACCGGGTCCGGGACACGAACCGCGGTCGACTACGTGGGAGTCCAGCGACATAGCCATTACGCTAACTGCTGGTTCCCTCCTATCCCCTTTTTTAAAAAGACTACTCCCCACTTGATTATCTTGGGACTTATACAGTTGGCTCTGATGTTCATAAATTTCTTTCTGGATTCTCTATTCTGTTCCATTGTTTTTATGCCAGTACTATGCAGTTTTGATTATTATGGCTTCATAATTTTTTTTTTTTTGGAGAGGCTTTTGCTATAGGGCATGTGCACTCGCCAGACAGACAGAGAGAGACAGAGAGACAGAAAGCGAGAAATCACCCCCGGGGGGGATGGCCACGCCTCAATCCCTTCTCCTCCATTCTCCTCTTGGGATCTTGGGCACACACACACGCCCGGTGTGAGTGTAAGCCACCAGGTCTGGGACTCGAACCGCAGTCGGCTACATGGGAGTCCAGCGACATAGCCATTATGCTAACTGCTGGTCCCAATATATTTTGAAGTAGTATATGCCTCCAACGTTATTCTTTTTTTTAACTTCCCAGAGGGCACATGCACTTACTGGAGAGAAACAGAGAAAGTGAAGGAGAAAGAAATTGAGAAAGCATCCTCCAGTGAGGAATGATCATGCTGCAATCCTTTATTCTCCATTTCTCAATCCTTTAGGAGTTTCGGGCATGTTTAAATAAGCACCTGGTGTATTTTTCAAGTGGCAAGGTCCAGGATTCAAGCTGCAAATTGGTCGTGTGGGATCCAGCTGCCTTAACAACATGGCCTTAACATGGACTGGCTCAGGTTCCTCCTTTTTATTTTGCCATTTCCTCCACAGAATTCTTTTAAAGAATTCTTTTTTATTTAAGTTTATTTGTTATTATTTTTTCCATTTTGATCAGAGAAAGAGAGTAGGAAAGTGAGAAAGCAAGCTACCATGTCCGGGACTCGAACTGTGGTCAGCCATGTGGGAATCCAGCACCTTTAAACCACCATGCCACCTGACGGCCCCATCCTCCACAGAATCTTAATGATATATAGTTTTTTTCCTCCAGAACTCATTGAGATTTCACATTTTGCTTTTCTTCTTTTGTGTTTACTTATTTCTCCCATGAGAGAGAGAGAAAGAGAGAGAGAGGTATCCCAACCAGGGCCTTCACACAGCGATACATCTCCAGCCTTAGCCACGATCAAGAGCGTGCATGTACTTGCTCAGCACATACTGGAAGATCTCAGAGTGTGAACCTGGACCTTTCCATGGCCTCAGCATGGCAGAGTGTTGTCTTACTGCTGTGCGACTGTGGCTGGCCTCATATTCTTTTTATTTATTTTTAACTTTATTTTTATTTGACCAGAAAGAGACAGAGTGAGAGCGAGAGAGAGGGGACGTTAGAAAGCAAGCTGCCAGGTCCAGGACTTGAACCATGGTTGGCCATGGGAGTCCAGTGCCCACTATGCTCCCTGCCAGCCCCACATTCTTTTTTTTTTTTTTTTTCCTCAATTTCTTTTATACATTTTATCACATATGTCACTTAGCTTGCAAAGTGAATATCTCAACATAAATACATTTCTCACCCTTGTATTATTTTTCTGTTGATCACCTAACAAAAATACTCTTTCAAACACAGAAAGAGGTATAAATTGCAGTAATATTGGAAACTGAAGCTGTGGTCAATATTGGTTAGATCCCTGCGGTGACTTGCTCTGCTCAGAGTTCAGCTAGGGCTCTGAAGCAGAGTAGCAGAGCATGGCTGAGCGAAGGCAAATGGTGGAACACTTCTGCTGAAGCTTGCTCAGCCTTGGAATGAAACCTCCTGACGGGTACTTGCAGGAGCAGGTCTCTGGCCTTCATGGCAGGATTTTGGACATGCACATACATGTCCTCAGTGTGCTTTTCAAGCCACTAGAGCCCAGATTTATTTGAGCCACATGGTTGGCCACGTGTGATCTAGCTCACCTAACCACTAGACCATGGGCCAGCCCCACACGCTTTATTACACAGGGAAGGGCTTGTGCTCTGTCCCTCCACAGGAATACGTCTCTGTGGGTAACAGGACAGCAAGGCAGCCGGAGCTGAGGGCCCTCGTTCTTCAGCTGAACTACACTGGGAAGGTGTCTGTTATATACTGGGTATCTGGGGGGCCAGCAGATGGCGTAATGGTATGTTGCTGGACTCCCACATAGTCGACTGTGGTTCAAGTCCCAGACCTGGAAGCTCAAACTCATGCCAAGCGTGTGTGCATGGATGCCCAAAATCCTGAGAGGAGACTGGAGGAGAAGGGGTTGCAGTGTGACCATCCCCCTGGGGAGTGATTTCTGGCTTTCTGTCTCTCTCTCTTTCTGTCTCTCCAGTGAGCGCAAATGCCCTCTGGCAAAAATCTCTCTCTTATAAAAAAATTAGCTGTTTGACTAAGGATAGCTGAGAGAAGACTAAATGGAGAGAGATTTACAAGTTGTGTCATAGGAGGAACAATGAAATAAAGTGGGCCGTTTTTTTTTTTTCTTTTTTTACAGATTTTTGCTATAGGGCACATGTGTTCACCAAAGAGACAGAGACAGAAAGTGACAATCACCCTACGTGAGACATGGCAACACTTTAATCCCTTCTCTTCCTGGGATTTTGGGCACACATGTACACACAGCCAGCATGATTTTCCAGCTGCCAGGTCCAGGACTCAAACCCCAGTTGAGCCTATGGGAGTCTGGTACCTTAGCCATTACTCTACCTACTGGTCCCAAAATGGGACATTTCTTTTTTTTTTTTCTTTCTTTTTTTTTTTTTTTAAGTTAAAAATGCTTCCTTTATTACATAAAGCCAGTACTGCTACTTCTAAGTTCAACTGTTCGTGCATCTCTGTATTGTTCCGAGTGTTACGCCTGTGATGTTAATGACAAGTGCATCCAAGTGTCACTGGGTAGTGGCTCCTTGCAAGTGTCCTCCCTGGTACCTGCTCCCCATCTCATATTCAGCTAATGACAAGTGTATGCTCTAGGTTAAGTTCTCCCAGGCCCAGAGCAAAGGTACTCAGTAGTCTTCCATACCTTCCTGTACCAGAAGCAGCAAACTTCTGAAGGAGACACAATCAAAGCTATCACGGTGTTCTAGCTTGTCAGTATACTGACATCATTTTCATTAACAAAGCAGATTACAGTGGAACCCTCATTTGCATGATACTTGGTCATTACAAGACACTGCACATTCTCCTGAGAACACACCATGATTTCCAAGATGCGAAGTGACTCTTGCAGAACAGTCTCCAACTAGCAAGCGCAAGTGCAGGGGCTGCTTCCCGTGTGCCAATAATGTGCTTGAAATAGCGCTTTTGGCGAGATCAGCATGGACTGCAGTGGCCACAGTTCTAAGGCAGTCTCGATTACTCAGGTGGTGGGAGTACAAGACCGCCTCACTTAATCTTACTGTTGTTAGTGTGTTAGTGTTGCACACATACAAGATTGTACCCTATTATGCTGTTTAGCTCAAGGAAGAATAAAGAATTTGGGCCAAAATTAAAATCAGATTATGACCAATTCTCTTAAGCAAAAGAAGAAGGTAACTGCTGAGGTTAACAAAGATGTAATTTTCTTCACATGGCCTTGTACTGTCCTGTAAAATGCATTATTAAAAATCATGAGCTTAAAAATCTGTAAGTTGGGAACCAGCAGTTAGCGTAATGGCTATGTCGTTGGACTCCCACGTAGTCGACCGCGGTTCGCGTCCCGGACCCGGTGGCTTAAAACTCACGCCGGGTGCGTGTGTGTACATGCCTAAGATCCCAGGTGGAGAATGGAGGAGAAGGGATTGCGGCATGACCATCCCCCCTGGGGGGTGA